GGGAGACCAACCAATCAAATATTCAGCAACTATACAGATAGCTGAATTGAGCTCTATCAGCTGGTAAAGTAAATATTTAGATGGCTATACAAAATAGCTGAAATTGAGCTCTATCAGCTGGTAAAGTAAATATTTAGATGACTATACAGATAGCTGAAATTGAGCTCTATCAGCTGGTAAAGTAAATATTTAGATGACTATACAGATAGTTGAAATTGAGCTCTATCAGCTGGTAAAGTAAATATTTAGACGACTATACATATAGCTGAAATTGAGCTCTATCAGCTGGTAAAGTAAATATTTAGATGACTATACAGATAGCTGAAATTGAGTTCTATCAGCTGGTAAAATAAATATTTAGATGACTATACAGATAGCTGAAATTGAGCACTATCAGCTAGTAAAGTAAATATTAAGATGACTATACAGATAGCTGATATTGAGCTCTATCAGCTGGTAAAGTAAATATTTAGATGACTATACAGATAGCTTAAATTGAGCTCTATCAGCTGGTAAAGTAAATATTTAGATGACTATACAGATAGTTGAAATTGAGCTCTATCAGCTGGTAAAGTAAATATTTAGACGACTATACAGATAGCTGAAATTGAGCTCTATCAGCTGGTAAAGTAAATATTTAGATGACTATACAGATAGCTGAAATTGAGTTCTATCAGCTGGTAAAGTAAATATTTAGATGACTATACAGATAGCTGAAATTGAGCACTATCAGCTAGTAAAGTAAATATTAAGATGACTATACAGATAGCTGAAATTGAGTTCTATCGGCTGGTAAAGTAAATATTTAGATGACTATACAGCTGAAATTTGAATCAGCTGGTATAGCAACTATATCCCTATTAATATTTTTTTAATGACTTAAATCTCCGTACTAACCCCTGGATGTAACCCTTTATTCATTGTTGGACCTTGAATTATGAAACTTGACTAATGACATCACCTTGTACACTAGTTCTCTAACAAAATATTAACCTTTCCTCTTTTCTCTTTTCTCTTTTAAATAGCTCAATTATTTTATAGAAAAATAGATTTTAAGTAGTAGTTCACTGATTGGCTAGATATTAATAAAATATTGGAGTTTTGTACCCAATATGATTTTATTTTGACTTATTCAACTATTTTGAAACTCATAAAGAATCAAAAAAAGATTTTTTTTTTCAAAGTTTCTTTTAACATTTTTGTCTACTTTCTGGGTCAAGGAATTTTATACTTTTTTCAATCAATTTTTGCTTTAATCTCTAGTCTAACTTAGTTTTTTTTTCTTTTCCTCTTTTCGCTCTGCAGGTGGAAAACGACAAAACAGGGGCAATAAATCTTATCGTGACCCTGCTTCACATTATTCACCTTTACCCAGAATAGAGTCACGTGCAGGGTCACGTCTTGACACATCAGGGGGACAGACACACGACTCACACAAATACACGCCCAGACAAGCTTACTCTCGTCAGTCCAGAGCAGCAGACGGAAAGTATTCAAACAGACATGGCAGGCGCGACAAACGCGACAATGAATATCGAGATGACGAAAACACACAAGAATACGATAACCAATCACAAAACAAACATTCAAACAGAAACAGACATCGCTATAGCGACCAACCTCAATCAGACGACGACAGACAAGCATACGAAAAAGGCGGGAATACTCAGTATTATAAAACTCCACGAACTCACAGACAGACGGACGATGACGATTATTTTTCTGATTCTAAAACACCTCCTCATTCCCCAGGACGCCCTGTACCATATAGTCACACAAAAGGTCAAGGTCATGGTCACGGTCATGGTCAAGGTCACGGTCATGGTCAAGGTCACAATGATCCACATTCATCACCGAACACCAACCACACCAATGAGGATTCGGGTTTTGCAGGCCTGTCACCAGACGAAAGAGAGAGAGATAATTATTTAGATGATTATGAAAGGTAATTTGAGTTTTTCCACTCTTATATTTTTTAAATGTTATGCACTAGGACATCAAGAATTAGAATATTTGTTTTTGAATTTAAAGATATTGAAATTCAGATTGAAAATAAAATGGAAATTTTAGATTGTTAATTGCACTAATTAATGATAATTTTTGTGTGCACCATATCAGGACTGTTGATTTGTATAAGGCCTATATTATGCTCAATGACTTACAAAATATTTTTCATAATTGAATATTTTGGTTAACTTCAGTGGCATCAAACATTCGGCCAATTGACAAATCAATAGTCGTGAAAAAAACGGTTTTGTCAGTGACTTATACAAAAAAAACATTTTCTTTTCATTTTGATATTCATTAACTTTATTTAAAACTTGGTGAAAGTTCTCCATAAATTCCATTATTGAATTTGTTAAATAAGAAATGGTTTTAGTCGAGGTTTGGCACTGTGCTAAATGTAGTTTATGATATGCTTACGTCAAAATTGAAAATCTGGAGCTCTTTTCATTTTTTTGGCTTTGTCTTGATTCTTGTATTAAACAAAGCATTTATATTATTGAAATGATAAGCAATTAGAGTTTCCAATGCCTTTAATTGATTGCGATTGTATTTACTGATCGTATTTACTGATCGTATTTACTGATCGTATTTACTGATCGTATTTACTGATCGTATTTACTGATTGTATTTACTGATCGTATTTACTGATTGTATTTACTGATCGTATTTACTGATTGTATTTACTGCAATGCCAAAACCTCAGAATTCAAATCTAGAATAAGTCACTGACTAAATATCTCACTTTTTAACTGTATCAATGTTATGTGTTTTCTGAACAGTAAACAGTATCTTTCTGCTTTTCTCCTGTCATGCCGTGTTAAATAGCTAGAAGATATATTCCTTTCTTTTCAAATGGGTCTTGGTACTTTTATCTTTGGAATTAGGGTGTAAAACTCCATTTCATTTCAATATTATATTATACTGTTATACCAAAATTGATTATACTTAGTTATACTTAAATTTTTCAAGAGTTCAAAAATCTGATTCATTCATATTCATTTTGCACGCAAAATTGAACTTTGATGCCATGAAATTCTTTCATTTTGCCAAGTCAATTGATTTTGACTTTTTATAAACGAATAGGACTGATGTATCAGTTTTGTTTTTATTGAATATTCAAAAATTTCCACTTATACACCAGTCATGAAATCCTCTGTGTCATATTCTTTCTATGTGTTTGAAAATTTGAAAAGATGGGAATCCCTGCTAAATTCCCCACAATTCTGATTTTTTAATCAGAAGAAAAAGAGAACTTCAACAACGACTAGATCGAGAGAAAGCAAGACAAAATCAGCTCAATCGTCAAAATGAGGAACTAGCGAGGTTAGCGGAGATGGATGAAGCAGAACGATTGGCCGAGGAGAAACGTAGAGAAGAAGAGTTCGCACGTAGACGGTTCGAAAATGAAGAACAACGAAAAGAAGCTGAAGAGGAGGAGAGAAGACGCGCCGAGGAAAGACGAAGGGAGGAAGCACGAAGGAAAGAAGATCGTCAACGCGAAGATGAAGACAGACGTAGGGAGGAAGAACAGAGAAGGGAAGATCAACGACTGGAAAATGAACGAGAGCGAGAAAAGCGAAGACTTGAAGATGAAGAAAAATGGCGTCTCGAAGATGAAGAGAGGGATAGATTAAAAAATTTAATGCCGAACAACGAAAAAAAGAAAACGAACTTCGAGCGAAGCGTAGAAAGGATGGAGGAAAGAAAGAGGGAGGAAGAAGCCAAGAGAAAGAGGGAGGAAGAAGCCAAGAGAAAGAGGGAGGAAGAAGCCAAGAGAAAGAGGGAGGAAGAAGCCAGGAGAAAGAGGGAGGAAGAACAAAAAGGGTAATAGCCTAGATATATTCAGCATAGAGCCATATAGATAGAGTAGTCTCCCTTATACTGGATCTGATACATCTCCTTGCTTTACGTTCTCTTTCTTAGTTCTAGGTTACGGGAATGACATTTTTAAAAATTCATAATTTTTTAATTTTGCACAATCACTCTGCACTTGGTAATGTTAGTGATTTGCACAAATTTTATGGTCACTTTGTTAATAATTGCACTAGTTGTCAAATCACACAAAAATTCACACCCAAACAGTCCACTGAAAATAGTCCATTAAAATGCACTTTTCCATGGTAACAAAAATTCAAAAAAGAGTGGTGTACTTTATTGATTATGGTAAGGCCACGATAATAATAATAATGGAGAATATCCTAATTTGTATCTATTTGATTGGTTAATCATTTAAAAATAACCAATCAGAATAAGTCTATTAGTAATGATCATCTGAAGCTATGATATATTTTGACCATGAACTGACCAATCTCTGACTTTTTGAAAGCAGAAATTTTGATATTTTCAAAGAGTTGTTGGGATTCCCAAAGTTCAGTATGAATTTTAGAAATACCATGATGTTGTTTCAACAGCAGTATTTTTTAGGGTAGTTCAACAGTAAAATATGTTGTCGTTCATTTCTTGTAGTAGAGGAAACGCTTCAAATAGACGAAAAGGTGCTGATGATGATGATAACAACAAAAAGCGGAATCAAGGAAAGGGACGTAACTCAGATGATGACAAACGCAGACGTGCTGATGATGATAGAAAGAAAAATGGCGGAAAGAGTCAAGCAGACGACAAGTCTGGGCGTAATCGATCACGATATGGTGATAACGATGATAGATTAACAAATGGTAATGATACAGATCATTCAAGATGGGATGATGATGATGCTGACAGTCAGAGATATCGTGATAGTGAGAATGATGATAATGATAGCAGACGGTATCGTGATAATGATAACGATCGTGATAGACGAAGGAGATCTGGATCAGCTGATGATGATGTAAGTGGTGATTTTTGTTTTCAAATTTCTTTTCTTTGAAATAAATTATTTGTTGTGGGGGATGACAGATAAACATTCTTACCAAGCTGATTAAAATGCAAATCACGATGTTTTCTAATTTCTTAATGGAGGTTTCCTTACAATTTGTGAATAATTCTCTGGTTTTCATTGTTTAATATTTGAATATTCCACTGTGTTTTTGAAATGTTAGAGATAATCTCTCATTAGTCCCTCAATAAACTAAAAACTTAAGATAAAAATAATTTGATTTACCTTTTGAAGTGTCCACATAAATGTACTCTAGTAACATATATATTTCTGATCATACAGGATGGTTTCCCAACTCCTCCACCATTAGAGATGAAATCCCCACGAGAGGTCCGTGATACAGATTCAGCTTACGCTAGACGAAGGGATGAAAGTAGGTGTTTTTTATTGTCCCATGCTTGTATATATGTGCTTGTGTATATGGTGCTTTTTCCTTCGGTTTTTTAGAACTTGGCTTTAATTGTATTTCTTAATGTCAAATTATTAGAAGCACAAGTTATGGATAAATAAGACAATTTAATGGATGGATACTTCTATAATTCATTGTAACGTAATGGGACAATCCCTTTTTTGTGCCACTGAAATCGTTCAGTCAGTTGTGAGCTGGTGTCTGCTAGCCATGTGTTTGAATTTCTCTAAGAAAACTTTATGATGCCAGTGCAGGCTGTGCTATGAAGGGTTGGTGCTCATTTGGGCATGGAAAGAAAAATGTGAATTCTTCCTCAAATTTAATTTCAATATATTATGGTATTCTAGAGGAAAGATTACTAGCTGAGCTAGATGAAGCAAGAGATTTGAGGAAAACAGCTGAACAAGATCGGGAAGAACTAGTCAAACGAGCCAAACAATTACAACATAAAACAACCAATAGAAGAAATAATGGTAAGGGAACTGAAATGAAAGTTTTGTTGTTGGTTTCTGTTACTCAAGCTTTCAGATCCCTGAAATATTTTTTTGGGCAAGCTAAGATCTTATAAATTGCTTGAAATAGATAATTTGATCTGTTGTGCTCTCAGAAATGATTGGAAATAGAACCAAACGTAATAAGCATTTATCTTTTGAGCTTTTTTTCCATTTTGAAAAATGATAAAAAAATTTTGATTTTAGACATTGTTTGAATAAGCTAAATCAGCTAATGTAAAAATTGTGATAATATTTTGTTGTAGTTTTTGAAATGTTTGTTTTTTATAAATTTGTAGCTCGCCCACTACGTGAGGACAGAGAGGGTAAACTTCCACTAGATTCCTACAAAATATCTCATTTATTTTAATATTTCACCTTAAATATTTCATTTGCACCTGATTAGTCACCTGCTTGTCATGTGATCACATTTGATTGACACCTGGTTTAAATTTAGAAGTGATTCACTTGTGCCTAATGTTTGATTGACACCAGGATCATGTACTACCTGTAAATGATTTACTACAGACATCACCATTGTGTATTTGATGTGTTCCACCATTTTGATTTCAGCGGGAAAGGTTCTTGCAATAATATTATTAACAAATATAAACCATAGCCTTGTTTTGAAATATCTTATGATAAAAATGTTGAAGAGTTGAATTCAATTGAAAATATACCATATTTAAGACGAAATTTATTGTAAGATTTTGTGAGAAACATGCGGCCACCTTCAAAGCTAAATTAAATGCCAATGTAACTACAGTGATTACTTTGGTTCATTTGGCTTCACTTTAAAAGTTTCCTGTTTCAGATAGCAATTGCTTATTTTGCCAAAGAATATAAAATGTATGAGGAATATAGTTCCAAAAAAACCACCGCTTGAAATTTAGGCCTTGAATCTACGGCAACAGTGTAAATCTTTTGGGATAAAAGCGCTTTATTTCAAATGGGTCAGAATTATGCTCATTACCTCAAATGACATGGTCCTGTCTAACATTCAGCAAATGAGGACAAACAGACTCTTTGATAGGTGTATTACACCACAGTGACATGGTCCTGTCTAACATTCAGCAAATGAGGACAAACAGACTCTTTGATAGGTGTATTGCACCAAAGTGACATGGTCCTGTCTAACATTCAGCAAATGAGGACAAACAGACTCTTTGATAGGTGTATTGCACCAAAGTGACATGGTCCTGTCTAACATTCAGCAAATGAGGACAAACAGACTCTTTGATAGGTGTATTGCACCAAAGTGACATGGTCCTGTCTAACATTCAGCAAATGAGGACAAACAGACTCTTTGATAGGTGTATTGCACCAAAGTGACATGGTCCTGTCTAACATTCAGCAAATGAGGACAAACAGACTCTTTGATAGGTGTATTGCACCAAAGTGACATGGTCCTGTCTAACATTCAGCAAATGAGGACAAACAGACTCTTTGATAGGTGTATTGCACCAAAGTGACATGGTCCTGTCTAACATTCAGCAAATGAGGACAAACAGACTCTTTGATAGGTGTATTACACCAAAGTGACATGGTCCTTTCTAACATTCAGCAAATGAGGACAAACAGACTCTTTGATAGGTGTATTACACCACAGTGACACGGTCCTATCTAACATTCAGCAAATGAGGACAAACAGACTCTTTGATAGGTGTATTACACCGAAGTGACATGGTCCTGTCTAACATTCAGCAAATGAGGACAAACAGACTCTTTGATAGGTGTATTACACCAAAGTGACATGGTCCTTTCTAACATTCAGCAAATGAGGACAAACAGACTCTTTGATAGGTGTATTACATCACAGTGACACGGTCCTATCTAACATTCAGCAAATGAGGACAAACAGACTCTTTGATAGGTGTATTACACCAAAGTGACATGGTCCTTTCTAACATTCAGCCCGTTTTTAAATTTCCAGCAAGAGATGTTTGGAAGAAACGTTATTTTGAAGAAAAGAAGAGAACAGCACCTCTAGAAGATTCTACTAATAGATTACGTCACGAACTAGAAGTTTTACATCGTAAACTAATGACAACATTGGAAGGACCTAAAGATGGTAAACCTGTAAAATATATTGATGGTAAACCATCACCTAAGGTTAGTACATTAGTAACAGTTGTTTTATATCATCATGGTCTAGTGTGGCAATTCATGAATATAATCAAAACACAATTTGTCCACAGAAAGTTACTAGTGTGTCAATCTGCTTGTTAGTTTGTCGCAAGTAATTCAAGATGAAAAAAAGACTGGATTAATTTTTATATAAAGCATCCCATTGACCAAAAATGTGATAGCAGACATTTTTATATAACATTTTAAGCAGTAGGTAGATAATAGATTTACTGTATAGTCGTGAATATTGTGCCAAAGCATTCCGCATCCCTCTTGAATGAATCTGAAGAAATTTCTCTCACTGTAAAAATATTGGTTGTCCTGAAAGATCGTCAAAAGATCAAGATGTTGGCCTAGTAACAAGTTTAGAAATTGAAGAATTAATTATTTTCTTGTGTTTTTGCAGAATAACTATATCATTCAGTGTACCAGATTGCAGCACGAGATCGAAGATTTGAGACGAAGATCAGAGAACGCCAAGATGAAGCTCACGGCTGAAATGAAGGTAAAATATTGACCTCAGGTCAACAGGAAGTTATACTAATATCTGACACGTCACTGAGTTGAGGTTATTTACCATGACAATAATGAGGCCAGCACCATTGCTCATTTAAGATAGGCCACATGATTTAGATCAGGCAAGATAAGCTGAGATGAATCAATTTAAAAATTCAAATTCAAGGTTAAATTAATATTGTTGTGGTAAATAGTTTCTACCAGTGAAAGTTGCTGTAAAGGAATGAAGATGTCACCATGCTAGGGTGTTGCTAGTTTCACCGTGCACCTTAACCCAATGTCAATTATTGCTGAATTTAAGCAAGAGTGTTTTTAATTATTAACCCAAGCATGATATTGATTTGGTCTGATGCACACTGATTGATAGGTGAGATTATGAGATTGAGAGAGTGATACATATTATGTATTTCACTGCAATGTAAAGAGATTGTAAACAGGTTTTTTAACTTTTATGTATATCGGGGATGTGATTTGCACAATTCCAATTTTCTGTCTGATGTCTGTGGTTCCTGCAATTCCTCTAAAACTAAGTGTTTGATGACATCACTATGGCTTAATCTGCTTATAAAAGGCTGTTTGCAATAGTGATGCCATTAAACACTTAGTTTTTTGGAATTGAAAAATAATGATTGGAAATTTGAAAGACATAAAAAGTTTCCAAAACCTTTTTACAATATCTTTTGTTTTTGTTTCTGTATCTTTAACAGATAAATTTGTCTTTTTGTTTTGTCTGTTTAAAAGATTTTTTTCAGAAAGGAGGGCTATCTTTTATCATCAAATTTTGGTGTTGGATTTGTACATCCGTCTTTTTAAGCATGTACTAGGTCTTTTGGTGGAGGAAGATTTTTTTTTCAGAAATTTTGCCTGTTTTTTTCTGCTCAGTAATATTTTCAGCTGTTCTTGGTTTGATGCCACAGTCCAAGCACTTCATTCTACATTTTTCTGAATTACTTTTGACTTTAATTAGATTTAGAATAGTGACTGAGGCAGTGAGGATCTTGTAACTTGAAAATGTTTGTAATTTGAACTATATAACTTATTGATTCAATGAAAAAGTCCTTCAATCTTTTACTGCTAAATAAGCATGTATTTAAGATAAAATTAAATTTGTCATTATATTTACTTCACGATACAATGAATATTTTTTCAAATCAACAACCCACGTATTTTCCAAGTTATAAGATCCTTTGTGACAATGAAGCTATCCCAATTGAATACAAAATGTTTTTGATTAAGTCATGTTTTCATTTGGGGCAGCCACAAGCCATCTCCACAATGTCAAGATATTACGAACTCCATCTAATACCTTTCTCGTACCATGCAAGTTTTTATATGTCGTGATTTAATAGAATATACGCTAGTGTATATAAACAATATAGCTTTTTTGCTTACATTCTTTCTGTACAGGGCTCTCATTGGCTGTATACGTTAGCGTATATTCCATTAAATGATGTCAAGGTATTGAACCAATATACCTTGACATTGTGAAGATGCACAACAGGCTGGACCTTCTCTCTTCTTCTTAAAGGGATTGTAAAGAGGTATTCTTAAGTTTTTATATGTATCAAGGACACTCATGGCATCGATATGCACCATTCCTTTATTCATTCAGACTTCTGTGATTCCTGCAATTCCAGTGAAACTAATTGTTTTATGAAGTTGCTATCGCAAAAGCTGCTAATAATATTTACGAGCCTTTACAAAAAACTTAGTTTTAGTGGAATTGCAGGAATTATAGAAGCCTGATTGAAAATAGGAATATTGCAATTGGATGTTTTTTTTTTTAAAGTTTAAAACACCTCTTTACAAACCCTTGAAGTTGTATTTTTCTCTGACTATTTGTAGGTAAAGATAGATATAGGAATAGTTAAACAGTCTCCTCGCCCTACGCCTGCAGTCTGAAGGCATGTAGAAATATAACCACAGCCTTGCCCTGTCGCGCCCTATCTCTTAAAGCTGCTAGTTGACTCTATATCTAACTTCAGGGCACACTAGAAATTATAAAGTATAAATGATATTTGAATATGACGTGAAAATTACAACATACTGCATTGTTCTCTGCAAGGTGTAGATATGGCTGGCATGTTGAATATGGCCTCCCTTTCCTTGAGTTTTTTCAGTTGAAAGTACAACTTAAACTGGATGGAATATAAATTCTATATTGTAAAAATTTTAAAATTTCTTTAACCCTTTCAACTCTAGCGGCCTGTATACCAGCCACAAACAAACGCAATATATACCTGAGCAGCCGGTATACCGGCCGTTACTAAGTGACGTCATACAATGTTAATGTCATACGCTTTTACTTTTATTACTTGGAGTTCAGGGTATATGATGTTATATTTCATTTACAATCAGGGTTCAAAGTGTTAATCTGTATCTGTTTTATGAATATTTTCGACTGAATTGATAAAAAACATGACTGAAATCAAGATTTTTAAGAAATTTTTTTTTCTGAATTTTTTGTTTTTGACAATTTTATTTTAAGTTATAATTTCCAAGTGTGCTCTGAAGTATTGAATACCCTGCTCTGCTCTTGATTTGTGAAAGATAATTGAAATAATAAAAAATCTTACTGATTAAAATTCCTAACCTAAACCTTCATTATCTTACAGAGACAGTGATTCTGGATTTCTTTAACAAACGTAATTTTCCTAGTAATTTCAATGCATGACTATATTCATTATTTATATTCCCTATTTTGGTGTTAATTAATTATATTTTAATTAATCAATTTTATAAGTGTTTGTGGTTACTAAAATTTCTTGTTGTCAAAATTTTTATATCCAAATTGCCTACTACCTTCATTGGTGCTTCCTAAATATATCTTGATACCTTTTAGTGCTACCCCTGGTCCCCATCCCTTCAAATTTCAACTGCTTATTTGATAAATAATCCCCAATTTCAAATTGAATACAAATAGAAAGCTAGATTTGATACCCCAACAAAATCACAGAGTAGAACTTTTAAAAACCAAATTTTCAACAAAAACTTTTCCAAAAAAACACAAATATTACCAAACTTTTTCTCTGTTAGAAAAGTTGAACCACCTTTGTAGCTATATTTAGATTGCCTTGAGACTGTCGGGTGTTGGATTGTGTGGTTTGTCCTGTTTTGTCTAAATGTGCCTCCATTTTTTTGCTGTTATTTCAATTCTTCATCTGTATCAAAAGAACATATTAAGAATTGTTTTTAGCATAAATCTTTAAAAATTTATTTGATAAGCTTATCCAATTTACATTGCTGACAAAGTAGAAACTCATTTAGAAATCTCATCCTTTGCTGGAATCTAGAACTTGATCAGCAGGTGACTTATTTGCTGCAACCCTATTGGAGTGACATTTTTTCTCAGAAAATGTAGGCACATCTGTTATATTATACGACCTCTAACTAACATGTTGATCATACTAATATTAAAACCTAGATCAGGGCCAAGATTAGCCAAAAATTTAACTTACGATGGGTATAGGATCATCCATTAGCCAAACACTTAAACAATCAGATTGCTGTATTCTGAGTAAATTTTCATGATAACATCACAATGATAATTTTAGTCATATCTGATTATACAATCACTAGAATTCATTTCAAATCTAGTTTTATTAATCAATCATATTGCTATATCATGAGGCCAGTTTCAAAACAAAATATCACAAGAATGATACAAGAGCTCTGTTCAGCCAATTCAACAATCACCTCAATTTGTTCCAAACCATGTACAGATAGTTCAGAAAGAGTAAGAATACCCTGGTGACCCCTTCCAATAAAATTCAACACACCTGAATGAATATTTGCCCTGATCTAGGTTTCTCCCATATTGATAATGGCATGTGTTGTCTTGTTTGTTTCAATTTCAGAATTTTTTTGAAGTTAAAATATTATTCATTTGCAGTTTATTTTTCAAATTTTACTTGTCAATTTGTAAAATCATATTGAAGAGCTTCTTTCAGAATACAAACCATTAAAAAACTTTCCAAAATTTACATATTTATTAACATCACGGACATTGTTAAAAACAGTTTTCCTTTTTCTGAGAAAGAATACACAATATTTAAATTACATTATGACATTATACTGTCTATCCATGCCTCTGTTGCAAATAATTCAAAAATTAAAATAGACAAAAAATTCAAATTGCCAGAAGTGCAAATTCCAAAGAGTTTGAATAATAAATAGAGTTCAAATTGAAATAGTTGAAATGTAAGAAAGTCAAGAAATGAGATTTCACTTTTTTCTACCCTAAGGCAAGATTGAGATACCAGAGATCTAAGAATAAAGTAAACTGTTTCTTATTTTTAAAATGTCCTGATGTTTATAATAATGATAAATATTTTTTGAATAATAAACTATCTAATAGTTGATATTTCTCCGTATACAACCAATATTCAATATTCTCTGTCTGATCTACTGGCTGGTGATATCAACCTCTCGTCATCCAACCAAGCTGTTTTCACACAACAGGTACATATCATTAGATATTGTGGATTATTTCTTTCTTAGTATTTTTTATCTTTGATCTTGTTTTTATTTGGTGTTTCTATTTTTATGGATTTTTTCATCATAGTTTTTCTATTGTACTTTTACGATTTAAACTTGAATTTTTCTATTTTTATCCGTATTTATCTATAAATTTGTGTGTTTTTTGTAGGTTTTCATAGTTTAGAGATTTTGTGTAGAAGTTGTAGTGTTTTTTTTGTCTATTTGTATTTTTTATTTATATTTTGCATGTATGATTTAAGTTTTTTCTTAAAATTTTGCACAATTTTCATAAACTATTTATAAAAGTTTTGCTATTTGCACAAAAAGCACATCACAAATATATCAGAACACTTTCAATATGTCAATGCTTCACAATAAATAACAGATTTTTCTCCTAGGACATTTAGATTTTTAGAATTTTTCAATCTTTTTATTCTCTATATTATTATTTTTGGTCTTCTGTACTCTGAACGGAATATTTCTTGGGTTACAGGATCATTTCTTTGTATTTGAACAACTGAATATATAAGAAACTGTAGAATAAGCTATTTCAGTCAATATAATAAACACATTGTTTTTAATTAACTGTATCTGATCTGCAAGAAATTATCTTAGAGTTATCTCCCTTTGTACTTTCAGAATTCCTTTATGAAATAATTAAACCAATTCAAAGTCAAATGTCACTTGTAAACATACAACAGCAGACAACAAATTAATACAAAAATTATAACAAAGTTTTTTTTTCTCCTTTCAGTTGAGAACGGCAGCAGAGAGTGAGTTAAAATCAGTTCGGGCGAATCGTATACGGAGAAAAGTCAACACAGGAGGCTCGGCATTCACTCAGGTTTATTAATTACAGTTACGCAACCAAGCAGATGCAGAGTTACGGGCCTTGAGAGCAGAATTAACCCAGAAGAAAATCAACCTAACTTTATCGCGAAATCGACAACTTGTGGCCTTGAGTCCTGGAGCTGAGATGATGGAGGGTCGAGAAGAAATTACAGCACATAATTAATTCAAATTATCAAGCACATTTTTATTTATTCTTCATGGGATTTATTCTGGAAATTTAACCAGAAATGAAAATCCATCATGAAAATTTAAAATCCGAATTTAATGAATTCAAAATACCAGAAATCTGATTGGTTATTAGAATCAAATCTAGTTTCTTTTGATTGGCCAATCAATTTAGTAAATATTGAAATTGTCTTTAGAAATCAAGAAAAAGGCCCTAAACTTGTACATAGTGGTAGAAAATGTCTATTTTAAAGCAGGACATGTGAATATTTTTGTCTTCAAAGCAGATAAAAGATATTTCTGATCATATTCTGATCGACAGAATATTAATGCTTGTACTTACCTTTTTCTGGGTCTACTAGAAGCAAAATCTATTTTTAGGATGAGCTCTTATCCAAAACAGCCCAGTACATCTCAACCAAATTATTAATTGTTGGTTTTATAAATAATTAAATTTGTTGGCATATTCATATCAACAAGTATATATGTTGACAAAAATATTCACAAATCAGTTTACTGGCATCATAATGAATGTAAAAGTACAGAATCCCAGCAGGTATTGAGCCTGTAAATTCCTCTGTATATAAAATAAACAAGTGCTATTATCATCTTTATGTTGTATTTGAACAGAAACTTGGGATTTTACTGAAGCAAATAGTTAACCCTCTTGGTACTGAGACATTTTTTTTAAATATGTCAATACCAGCCTGGGTTAATTATTACTAATTAGTGAAATTTAGCAGATCATTATTCAGATGGATATTTAATTCTATAAAATCACTTAAACCTGTGTTACCATTTTTGTTTGAAAGTTTGTAATTTTGTACACCTTTGCTTCATTTTTTATCAAATTCTGTCTGAAATATTATGTGTTGAATTGTTCAAATGCAAGTTTCTGTAAATAAAAACCACATTTTTTTTTTATCTTCACCTTTTCTAGTATTTGCCTAAAAACACTGAATTTTTAGTGCCTTTATTCAGACTGTTTTGTGTCAGTTTATAAAAATATTTCTTAAATTGAAGGACTTCTTTCATCGAAAAAATCTTATGATGAAAATTGCCATAAGGACCCTTAGATTGGCAAATATACTACTAATTAAGTGATCGAAAGAGTTTTTGAGAAATTGGGCCTTTATCAAATTTTAGTGGTGAAATTTGAAATAATTAAAAGTATGAAGTATATTATAGGCCTTGGTCTTGTTCTCTCTAAAACTTAGAATTCTTGGATTAACAAGTGAAACAACCAATTTGCAGTTCAAATCTTAAAGATATAAATTTTACAATTGCTACAAAAATGTCCATTAATGTCTCATGCTCATTGATGTCTCAATTTTATTTCCAAACGAACCGAAGAATTGTAAATTCTAGAGAATAAGTTCTAGAGAATAAGGCTCCTGATTTTGATAGATGTATATTTCTTCTTCCGTCCATGTTTTATAAACTGTGATTAGATGTACTGTGATAATGTTGTATTGTGGTCTACATTTTTTTGTGAAATCAATTTTATTTACTTTCTGTCCTGTCTCTCATAGTATTATATTTTGTTTTGTCTGTTAGTAAAGAAAAATTGTAGGAGTTAATTTTCTGAAGTCCACCATAGTTACAACTAAAAAAAAATGATATCAGAAGAATAGAGAAGACAGTGAATGAATATACTTGTAAAGAATACAAATAGGGTTTAAAACAGTTAGAAATTGGAATTAAATCATCCAAGAAAGGAAATGCACATCTCTCTGTTGACCTATCTGCGTATCTAGAAAATGCCAGAGGGCCAAAAGTGTCACTCAAAGTCTAGATCCAAAGGGCCAAAGTACCCTAAGGTCAGGGGTCTGGGCTGCAAGAAACCTCCCATAAGCCATTGGATTTTAGATGTTATGATTGTTTAAGGACTCATAATGTTGTAGAGAGTTTTTGTATTGTACTTGAAATTTCGAAAAACTCTCTCATGAGTATTCCAGTTAATTATCAACATATTTAGAGTCTATATGATGTTATTAATATACTTCTGATTTCTGAAAACCATCTGACCTGGTATTTGTTTAAAATATAATTTGTTAATTATTAGCGTATCTGTGATATTTGTTATCGTCTATTATTATTATTATTATTATTATGAATATAGAAACCTTTTATTGTATTTGATATTAAATCAACCAACTATATGTTTATTATTATACTAAATCTATTAAAAACTATTTAGAAAAGTCATTTTTGTTTTTTGAATCATATCATTTTAAGTTTGAGGAAGTTCACAAAAACTCCTAACTAAAGCACTGGCCTAGGTCACAAATAAAGAGATCTGCTAAAAAAAATTAGGATGGGGTTAAAATTTATGTATAAAATTTGAATTTGACATTTGGAAGTTTAGAGCTCATTAGACAAGAAACACAAGGGAATATATTATGATATAACACACTTCTTTAATAACAAAGTACATAATGTTTTCTTCAGCAGACATCATCATGCCCGTGAAACCCTATACTCTTTACAGCCTTTCATGGCTTTGTTCACAATAACTTACAATTGCAAGTGTCAAGCATATGTTGAAAATATTTTGGATATCGTGATTATTCATGCACTCTCACCGTATACCTTAATTGTTGTGTTGGTTAGACAAAATAAAAGAGGAAAGAGAATTTGCATTGTTCACAATAACACTTACAATTGCAAGTGTCAAGCATATGTTGAAAATATTTTGGATATCGTGATTATTCATGCACTCTCACCGTATACCTTAACTGTTGTGTTGGTTAGACAAAATAAAAGAGGAAAGAGAATTTGCATTGACTACAAATCGATTTCGCGCTTGTAATCTCTTGAAAGCACCAATACATTACATTACGAGTCCTATAAAGTATTAATTTTTCTCTCCGGTTGCTTTAGTAAATTTGACTCGAGAACTGGATTTTGGCAAATATACTTTTTGCATTTTAATTCTGATATTATGAATTCTCCCTAACCCAGATTGTTATAAAGAGTTTGGTTAAGGCATTTCTCGACGTTTTAGCAGTAGCCTTTCGCATGTCAACACAAAATAGAAAAAGTACATTACATACAACGTCCATTTCAATAGAACAATAAAATGACACTGCATTAAATACAAAAGGTACCGAAATAAAAATCTGTAAAAGCAAAACAATTCTGTTGATCAAAATCTCGTATGGCAAAATCGAGAATAAAAACAGTATAGCAGTGGACTCCTCTAAAGAGAAATACCATCAGGTGTTTCGAAAAGAGTAAGCATGGCCTGCTTCGCGCTCGACACCTGCCACTACTATACAGGTCAATGTCATGAGATACAATCAGATCAATTTATGTGTCAATTCTCAAGACTGAACAAAGGGAGAGAATCGAAAATACTCTCCAACTGTATTATTACTTTTCGTTCAGTAGATTCATACTTCCCAGACTTCTACTTTTCCTTTTTAGCCTCTTGATTGGGGAGTTCGAAATTTGTTTCAAACAAATCACCCGATTCGTCAGCAGGATGCGTTGATGAACATGTGAGATAATAAGGAGAGAGTTGAGTGTACTTGCAAATTGCATTTGATTAAAAAGTAATCCATCAGCTCAACGTTACATCAACTGTACGTAACAAGAGAATAAACAACGGATGTTTTCTCCGTCATACTTCAGTGCGTCAGCCAACACGTCAAACACGTCAGTACGTCAGTCAACACGTCAAACACGTCACGCGTCAGTTAGCACGTCAAACACGTCACATGGAGACCTTACTCGATGCTTGAAGAGATAAAACCTAAATTTGCAAACAAGTCTATGTTGAGTACTAGCCATAGTCTTCACTTGGTGCTGTGTACGGTATTGTTACACCACAGATATGATCTTACCGGGAAATCGGCGCTACGATATCAAAGAAAAACTACTTTATAAAGAATATACATTATTTAATATAACACATTATATACAAATAATACTGATTGGTCATATACATAATAATACTATTAATAATATACACAAAAACATTTATTTAAGTTTCGGGTCCCTGTCTTTGGTCTGTCTCAAATTTTGAAGAATGATGCTGAAATTTCGACACCAATACAATTTATATATATACCATGTTGAATCTGCAAATTTATTAACATATTATATCCTGGATGTACGAGGAGTCATTCTCTCTGATACCCAGTCTGGATGGATGACGAAATGTCCTCGAACATTAGGGAAGGTGGTCTGCAAGAGAAAATGACATTGTTAATAACTTGAAAGATCGGAGAGGGTGGAGAAGAGGGTGGGGTGTGTATGTTAAGCGCTTTCTTGCTATGGATTCTAATAACTGTTAGTCAACAGTGTTTGACAACAGGAAATGACAGCGTAATGGGCGTGAACTTCGTTGAAAAATGGCTATTGCCGTCAAGGTATAAGACCAAGCTCGCTATAGCTTGACATTGTGAAGATGCTAGTAAATACGCCCCTAAATATCCAAGAAACTTACATTGAAGACGCCTCTGTTGTGGACGAACTCGCTTTCATCAGCTGTAGACAGACTTCTACCATATCTGTTCTGGTGACGATGGAGGGGTCGACTTCTTCTTTCACTTGTTCCCAAACGTCTGGAAATTACAGACACACATACAGATCTTCATGTTCTTTAAGCAACGGTACGATTGTTAATCATTATCATGTAACGTTGTTTAAGGAACATGACAGATCTTAGACAGGAATGTCAACTGATTTTCAGCATGCGTAAAATCCGTCACAAATCTTTTCGTACAAAGGTCATACCCTAATCAAACGCTTTAAATCCAGCTGGTATATAATATTGGTCAAAAGGAAATATTACAAAGCAGTGGGGGCTGCAGAAATTCTAGAGGACTTTGGGGGCATGTTCCCCCTTGAAGAATTTTGAAAATAAAAGGCTGAAATCTTTTTTTCTTAGGTCAGAAGATGCCTCCTGCCATTTCTTTAATAAAATTAACTCACCCCCTGACGAGGGCCATATCGTCCATATAATTCCTGGTAATAGCAGACGGGGTTCCAATATGGTACTGGGTATGAGATCGTTCTGTCATGAGAGGTCGATATTCTGGTTGTTGTAGTTTATACCCAGGATGTCTGGTAGGAGATAAACTCGGTTCTCGGTATTGAGCGATAAAATTAGGGTTGGACATTTTCTCTGAAAGAACAAAGCGATTTTTATAAGGTTTCTAAAGAAAATGATTTACTACAAACATCATAGTTATAAGGTTTAATTATTACATTCATCTGCTTAGGCCTATTTATAACGTTCCGTTTTACTACATGGTTTACTACAAACATTACACTTATAAGGTTTCCTAAAATGAGTTATTTCGATCATTATCTTGGATCCGTATCAACACGTTTTTTTCATGAAAATGGCTTAAAACAAACATCACTTCAAGTATAGGCAGGTATTTTTACTGTTAACTTTTCTTAAGTAAGTGACTTTTTTCAAAAAAGTAGATTGTGTACTAAATGATTTACTACAACAGTCAAAAAAGTTATACCTTTATAATCTAAGTCGTAAGTTGGTAAATTGTGCATATAATCTTCTCTATGGAGGGGATTCTGAAATAAAAACATGAATATGAAATTTACTATTCAGCCTAAAAATTTGGGCAATTGTCAAATTGTAGCTGTTATAATGATCTTTCATCAACCCTTTTCAACGGTTTGGTATCACTGGTACCCCTCGTTCGCCAAAAGACGACTGTTTCAGTCGAATTTCATTTAAAAATCGTGTTTTGATTTTTTTTTTAAACTCGTTGTAATCAAAGGGAACTAAAATTGAAGTTAGGAACAAGGCGTCTTTCTGCTGTCCTGTGATCAGTTAGTAAAACGTTTCGTAGTGTTACCTTGTTTTTACTGATACATGTTTTAGAAGGCAAGGCAAAGTGTTGTTTGACAACATCCCTATAGCAGCGAAACATTGAACGCAATGCTGATAAAGGCAACGATTAGACGATTGTATTCGGTTTAATCTTACAGTATAGTAGGCACTATTATATGTCAATTTGTTGAAGGTGTTGAAAACAGTAAAATATTCATTAGAACGAGGTATCAGTTCGATCTTAATCTTATTAATTAGACCCGGTATTAATTAATCATATTCTGACAACCGAGAGAACTTGTTCCATTCATTATTGATACTAATAAATGAATCTAAATCTACTCTTTCTGCACTCTGAACAAAAAAAAAAGGGGGGGGGGATATATCTGTGTAACTGTAGATTATTGTTAAAATGTTGCAATTAGCTCTTTAGGACTATGATCCAGTCCTTCTCTACCTACGTACAGGCATGACAAAATATACCCTCGTCGTAGACAGGAATAGTCCAGGCGTCAGAGACTATATTGCAATGAATTTACCAGATATTAGACTATTCTTTCTTTCTTAGATATGTATTTTTGACAGATTGTGTTAGAAAGCTTGAGTCAGAACAACTAATTTGATTTTGGAAGCCCAAGCAATGCACATAATAGCACATTCTTTGATTAACAAAATGCAAACATACAAAATATACACACTTATTGCTCAAAAGGCGAAAAATGTGTGAACTCACCAAAGTTGTGGAATTAAATAGATAGCTGGGAGAACTCGAATCGTCGAATTCGAATCCAGTAGAATAACCAATACGGGGTGCTGAGAAACTCTCTCCAAAATTATCTATACCTGAAATAGAAACAAGGATTTGCTAGCTTCAATTGATTAAAAAAAAAAGTCAGTATCTATAACGAAATGACTATATAAGTCCACAAACTATGTAGAACTTAACATAACGACACGTTTTTTATCAGAAGATATAATCTCTATGTAAAAATACATTAAAGAAACAGAGTTTTTAGTCCTTTGAAATTCGAAAACTAGAATACTAACTTAACATAACTGCAGGTTCAAGTCCAGGTTGTTTATCCAAGAATAAAATGTAGTATGTGTCTATCGGTAATCCTAAATCTTAGTAACTAATCACAAGAAGTTATATCTCCATATCGCATATACCTTAATCTCTTTTCACTGTAAGGAGTAGTTCACATCGGAATCGATCGTATCCAATTAGTCGAATAACGTCACGTCGCTCAACGTGGATTGACGTAATTGAGGTCAATGTGGAGTGACGTCATGCAGTTATAAGTTGGATGATGTCATACAGTTATAAGTTGGATGATGTCATAGAATTCCAAGACTGATAACGTCATGGAGTTTGTCCTATAACGTCACAAAGTAAGTTGAATAACGTCACACTTCACAAAGTTCAATGCGGAATGACGTCATAGAATTCATTGCAGAATGAGGTCATACATTCAACGTCAAAAGACATTCGACTTTTAAATTATGTCATGCAGTATTACTGAAATTCATACACTAGAATTATGCGTTTAACGGAATAAGAACTGTAATAACTATAGTGTAAGCTAGGCTTAGCTAATTACTGTAAATAATTAACAAATTCCTTATCTATTGTTAGGCTAAAGATTAAGAATCCAATTTGTATCAAAACTAATGAAATCTATAATAACCGTGGATTATAATGATTGATATAGAAATATTGATATAACCTCATATTCCTAACTTTAAGATAAATAAGTGCTCTATTGGACATAAAACGTCACATTTTTTAAAAAGAAATTGGTCGACATATTAGATATTAGAAGGCCTGCAGCTACAGGGGAATCTGACGGCCAACCAATACCATGCAACTAAACACCACACCACATTGCTCCTCTGGATATATTAATTGCCCCACTCGCCCCAAAAAAAACAAACCAATCTGTCTTATTTGCCCTTACATGTCATTCCCGTCAATAAATCTAATCAGACGTGAAAAAGTGAGTCGTAAATTCCATTTTATTTTCCACTTGTATACTAAGTAACTAAAGTTATAACAATTATACAGGTTTATATTGACATATATCAATTGATTTATAAAGCTAATAAAATATGCATGTTATAGGGTGCGAATCTGTTGAATACCCCGTACATGAACTTTTATAGCTGAAAGGGAAGATGTGTTATGATATTAAGCATCGTAGCCTGGAATACACGGAGCCTTGGTTTATTGTTCCATCCGAAGACTAGCCCCTCTGACTTGCATCACTGACAAGGGGAAACCGGAATGAAAAATTGGAAGGTATTATCTTGACCTATGTCTGTATTGAATCCTGGACCTTAACCAGGTTAACAAACAAGCGTCTAACTGATTTAGCCCTGAATGGTTACAGAATATTAATATCAATATTAATCAATCTTACCTGTATTCGTACCTGTATAATCTAATCAACTGTCCACTGGGTATTGAAATCTCTAATACCCTACCTTTATAAACCTCTATACAAACCGTCTCTAGGCAAATTATGTAACAGGCGACGTTTGACAGACAATAACTTGCCAAAAACTGATTTAAAGGGAATTGATTAGGGGCATGCAACATTTTACATTTATTTCCATTATTTATTCAAATACCGTACGTCATTGATATGGTATATCACTTGAAAATATTGTCACCTGAAAGACTATACTTAAGTTTGAATGAAAGAAACCATCTAGAAGGAAGAGCGCGCCGATTAGCCCAAACGGTCTATTGCTGTCTATGATGAATATAATTGAACATTTACTCATAAGATTCCAAACTTTGCATTAGATTTAACCCTTAATGCATTCCGTTTACCGTTACCTGGGACCTCATTCTCTTACACTTTTTTCGTATTCCAATCAATCATTAAAATCGATTTTAAATTTGGGTTTATTATCCAGTCGGATTAGTGTATTTTTTGAAAATTTGGATTTCTAGTAGGGCCCTGGTAAAATTATTGTATTTATTAAAATACAAATCCCCTAATCCCTTCCATATACCTATAACAATTAACATATGATTGAGTATTTACAATCAGTGTCCGACTGCTATCCCTTTAACCTGTGATTAGGTATTATTATGTGAAATGTGTATTATACCAGTAAAAACTAATGAAAGGTAAAATAAAGTAGATATAGAACAATGAGATTAATAACTATTTATTTATTACAACCTATTATTCCGGTTCATTAACTCTATAAGTATTAATTATCAATATATTTAATAACATTATAGCTCTGTTTTATTAGTCTTTTTGCAATTCGTGTAGTCAATTCTCAACTTCGCCTATAATTTTCCATAATTACATTTCAATTTTCACACAGGCCTCTTTTATTAGTGTTTTTGATATCCATGTATACATTTTGCAACTTTACTTATTGCTACCAAAACATTTCATCCAATATTCACAACAAACGTATGACATACACCATGGCCTTTTGTAATTATCGATAAAATATTCGATTCTGCAAGGACCAAATAACCCATGTTTGATTAAAACCACAACTTTAATCACATCGTATTCTACTTGTACTTTGAGAATAACTGAAATTCAAACTTTTTAGAAAAATCATTAGAAAGTGATATATCATTCATTCAATTTAGAAGACTTTTTACCTACAAAAGATAAGCTTAATGATTTACTACAGATTTCATATTTTTGGTATCTTTTAGTAAATGATTTACTACAATCATCATATTTATTAGGTTTCTTTTACTAAATGAATTACTACAGACATCATATTTATTAGGTTTCTTTTACTAAATGAATTACTACAGACATCATATTTATTAGGTTTCTTTTACTAAATAATTTACTACAGACATCATATTTATTAGGTTTCTTTTACTAAATAATTTACTACAGACATCATATTTATTAGGTTTCTTTTACTAAATAATTTACTACAGACATCATATTTATTAGGTTTCTTTTACTAAATAATTACTACAGACATCATATTTATTAGGTTTCTTTTACTAAATAATTTACTACAGACATCATATTTATTAGGTTTCTTTTACTAAATAATTTACTACAGACATCATATTTATGAGGTTTCTTTTACTAAATGATTTACTACAAACATCATATTTATTAGGTTTCTCTTACTAAATAATTTACTACAGACATCATAGTTATTAGGTTTCTCTTACTAAATGATATACTACAAACATCATAGTTATTAGGTTTCTCTTACTAAATGATTTACTACAGACATCATATTTATGAGGTTTCTTTTACTAAATGATTTACTTCAGACATCATAGTTATTAGGTTTCTCTTACTAAATGATTTTATGGACACATAGTATATAACTATATCATAATTAAGTCTAAAAAATGAATTAGCTTAAAGAATTAGTTGTTGTCTGTATCCAATAACTGGAGTTGTCTTTCCATGTAAAGGGAGATAACTGACTCGAATTGCCGATTAAGGAATTTTGTCAAAAAATGAATATTTTTCTGATATTTTCGCTGTCAAAGACTTTAAATACAATTTCCATATGTTAGGTATGTCTATTTTGTTTCTTTGACATATGGTATAATTCTGTTTTGTAGATTCGTCAAATTTTACGTAGATATTACAGATTTGGTGACTTCAGTCAGTGTCACTGATTTGCCAAATCAAAGACCAATTCCTGCAAATTACATGCACTCTTATCTAAGTAGTGCTGTACTATATATAGTTAAATAAGGGGGCCCATGCTGGTAATCTATAACAGAACTTTCAATCTCTATATCATATGATTTGAAATTCTTTTTCCTTCTCTTTATTTCATATTATAGCGGGATTTTTTTGTCATTCTACCGGAACGACTTTCTAGTTCAACATTTTGTACTGCTACCTCAGAGAGTGTCTTGGAGGATGTGTGTGTGGTATCTAGTGTTGACTATCAACTCTTTTCACCTTGACTAATGAATCTATTTTCCTCTCAGGAATGTTCTGGTAACAGCAAACATCTAGAACTATTAGTTAGATAAGTTTTTATGGCTGGTTTTGGTGGAAATAAAGGCATCATGAAGGACAGTGTCATGCCCCCGTTTCGTATCATGTTTCAATCAGCTAACGTCCCGTCGTCTGCTAGTCTAGATCTGTACCTAGCTGAATTAGATGCTCAGTTAGAGGAGAATAACAAAGAGTAAGTTTGGAATTGACCTTTACATTAAACAATCTTTTGCCTGAGCATATTCTCAACCTTTTTGGCCAATTTACATCCTAGTTTTAAATGATTTACATGGTTTGTCTTTGTTTTTACCTACATTACAAAAATTATGGACCATGGTACATTTTCTCAACTGTATATATGTGAGCTTATTTCTTATCTATAATTAAAACAAATGTATTATTGTACCTTCAATATGTTGATACATTGTTAGGTTACAAATTATTAGTCGGTAATTGAATTGAAACATTGTAGGGAGGGATTTATTTTAGTCAGATATTGAAGGGGATTGCTTCATAAACTGGTTGCGATGTCTGTAGTAAATCTGTAGAATGATACTGACCTGTGATATATATTTTATATTGACAGTATAGATCTATGTATGCAGTCTGTATTATCATTCACCAGAGATCTGCCCGGGGGTCAGTCTGTATCTGACCCTAAAGAAGGCTTACTTCAAATGATCAACAATAAAACACTGGAGAAGGAATCATGTTACGATCCCGAAGTTGACGATTCCGTGGCCATTTTAAATGGTTTGGTAAGTTAAACTACTCAGTCAACATGGTTATTTGTTTCTATCTGTTAGTGGTTGAGAGCCAAGGCCAGCTTAAAAAGGGAGTTTTTTTGGAGGAACACTCCTGACAAATGAAATTCAATAGTTTCTTGCCTTTAGGACGAATTAGATCGAGACATTTCACAGCTTTTAGTTGCTGAAGAGTGTTCAAAGTTAATAAATGACCAATCTGAGTGATAGAAATTAAATTACGTTTTGTATAATATATGGTCAATTTGTAATTGTAGTCTAAAAATTCATTTTATTTTTCCAGTTAAGTATGATAGAAGAAAACCCAGGTAGTGAGGAGAGAGTTCTTCAAGAAATTTTATCTCTGAGCGCCGCGGAGGGTCTCGTGTTCCCCCTACAATCTTCGTCAGCTGGTACTGCCCAATTGTCAATGGCTTCCCTTCACACTGTAGAGGACTCAACTGACCAACAAATTGAAGAAAAATGGAGCAAAATCACTCAAAGATTGAAGAAACATTTCATTGAGAAGCTTCTACGTCTGCCACACCAGCAGAGTAATCTCCCTGGAATACCTGTCAATCAAAGGTTGCGTCTGCTTCAATGCCTGGCGGCCATTGCTTCAGATGAAGAAGTTTGGAAATGTTATCAAAATTTACGAACACAACAACTGGAGAAAATGTTTCGTGATTTGTTTCCAGAATCTGATACAGTTGATTATCAATCCTTTTCTAGTCATTGTGACCTCATAGCCTCACATATCATTAACATGATCGACGAAGATTTCGTGGTTTTGAATACGGGAGTTTTTCGTAAAGTTGTCAGCGTATTCAAGGCCATTCACGATCTATATTTAGAAAAATATTCAGACGAAATGTCACTCTTGGTTGAAGAAGTCAGTGACAATATTTTCAAAATACGTCATAATTCATTTGCGAGTGGTAACCAATCAAAAAATCAAAGAGGAAAATTACAGAAAGGTCAAAGTTTAGATAGTATGATGCCGGGAGGAGCAAGGAGCATTGTGGGTAATGTCCAACCACAAGGGGAGGCAATTGTAAATTCTGGATGTATACAGTCTCTACAGCATATTATAAAGTCTCTGTTATCTATAGAAGACCACATTAATACATTGTTAAGGAATACTACCTGGGATGTGATTGGAGTCTCGACTAAAAAAGCCAAGAAAAGGGGAAGTTTAAGAGGTAGGTGAAATTCAATTGGTCTTTACAATATTTCTTGAACACAATTCAAAAATGATTTTGTTCAGATCATAGATGGCAGGTGTGATTATCTGCAGAAAAAAACGAAATATCCAGATCTGTAGTCTACTTCAAATAATCATGAAAAGGGGATTGAAAGGATTGTACAAGGACAGTAGCATTATGGGATTCTTTACACTTCAACTTTATTCTTAAGACTTTCAATTCTTTGTTCAATCTCAATGATATATGTTTCTGTTTGGAGGCCTCTTTCACCTACTTGTCTGTTGATAAGACAATTTCTGGTAATAATGTATTGTATATTTGTTACTTTACCATACAATGTATAACTTTATTAATAGGTGTTCTGAAGACGAGTTCTAGCCCAGAACAAAGACGACATTCATTACGGATTGCAGAATTAAATAATAGTGATACACAGATAGATACAGGTTCTTCTAACAACTCAACACTTCCTACTCCTAAAGGCATGTATCTTATATATTTAGATGCAGGGGCAGTGGCTTTAGTATTGAGATGGGCAAAGGGGCATTGGACCTCCCTCTTTCAAACTCCTTATTATAGAGTTCTTAAATGATTGATGTTATCAGCTTCCCTTGATAATTCTGCTGCCCTTTCTTGCCCCCTCCATCTAATGATTCATTGGAACGACAATGTGTGGGGGAAGGTTAGTTACAGTCACAAGGGAAAACTGATTCGAAATTGCAAACTGGGATCATCAGAAAGGAATGCAGAGTTAACGAACCTAATCACAGACAGAGTGTCTTCATTATGACCATGATATCAATATTGAAAAATATATTGTGTGATTTGGTGCACACTAAGACTTATATGTTATATTATTTTTTCAGTAATCGAACGAACTAAAACAGAGGAACGTCTACACTGGGACTGGAAATTGATGTTTAAGAAGATATCAGGGGACATAACCCAGGCCGTAGAAGCTAGTATTACTAGTACAATGAAGACTAATCTACATGAGGAATGGGAACAATGGCAGACGTATCATGCTCTTACTCAAGTCGAGGTGAAATCAACTTTACGTGGTGGTAAACATGATTATCCTAAAGTTATATCTAAGGTATGTCTGGTTTATTTTTGGATGGATTGTGAGATTTTATTATTTTTCTATCCCATGGAAGTTTATATGAGACAGATTTTGATGAAACTTTACTAACCAGAATGCTTTAGAGATGTATCTGACTGTAGTCGATTAACTTTTAAATGTTATTACTATAAGAACACAAGATATATAGATATACTACCTCTAGGTTTATTACATACTACGTTTCAAAACACATACAGTTAACATTAAAAACACAAGATATATAGATATACTACCTCTAGGTTTATTACATACTACGTTTCAAAACACATACAGTTAACATTAAAAACACAAGATATATAGATATACTACCTCTAGGTTTATTATATACTACGTTTCAGAACACATACAGTTAACATTAATAACACAAGATATATAGATATACTACCTCTAGGTTTATTACATACTACGTTTCAAAACACATATAGTTAACATTAAAAACACAAGATATATAGATATACTACTTCTAGGTTTATTATATACTACGTTTAGAAACACATACAGGTAACATTAAAAACACAAGATATATAGATATACTACTTCTAGGTTTATTACAGACTACGTTTAGAAACACATACAGGTAACATTAAAAACACAATATATATAGATATACTACCTCTAGGTTTATTACATACTACGTTTCAAAACACATACAGTTAACATTAAAAACACAAGATATATAGATATACTACCTCTAGGTTTATTACATACTACGTTTCAGAACACATACAGTTAACATTAAAAACACAAGATATATAGATATACTACCTCTAGGTTTATTACATACTACGTTTCAGAACACATACAGTTAACATTAATAACACAAGATATATAGATATACTACTTCTAGGTTTATTACATACTACGTTTCAGAACACATACAGTTAACATTAAAAACACAAGATATATAGATATACTACTTCTAGTTTTATTACATACTGCGTTTCAAAACACATACAGGTAACATTAAAAACACAAGATATATAGATATACTACTTCTAGGTTTATTACATACTACGTTTTAGAACACATACAGTTAACATTAAAAACACAAGATATATAGATATACTACCTCTAGTTTTATTACATACTACATTTCAAAACACATACAGTTAACATTAATAACACAAGATATATAGATATACTACTTCTAGGTTTATTACATACTACGTTTCAGAACACGTACAGTTAACATTAAAAACACAAGATATATAGATATACTACTTCTAGTTTTATTACATACTACGTTTCGAAACACATACAGTTAACATTAAAAACACAATATATATAGATATACTACTTCTAGGTTTATTACATACTACGTTTAGAAACACATACAGGTAACATTAAAAACACAAGATATATAGATATACTACCTCTAGTTTTATTACATACTACGTTTTAGAACACATACAGTTAACATTAATAACACAAGATATATAGATATACTACTTCTAGTTTTATTACATACTACGTTTCAAAACACATAAAACACATACAGTTAACATTATCAAGTAAAATGATAATTATAGTCAAACAAAGAAATGTTTGAACATCAGGGTCCAATCCATTAAACATTAAACAGTCTAGTTTCTTTGTGGGAAGAATAATTAGTAATAGAAACCATTCGTAACATAATCTACCTAAATATAATGTTGTCTGGTAATGTTTATGCTTTGATTCTGGATTTTGACTATCAAATGATAATTGAATAAGTGTTTATATTTCAGTCTGTTAAAGAGTTTTTAGATACGTGTGATAACCTACTGGTATTTGTATTTATATTTCAGTCTGTTAAAGTGTTTTTTGATACGTGTGATAACCTACTGGTATTTGTATTTATATTTCAGTCCGTTAAAGAGTATTTTGATACGTGTGATAACCTACTGGTATTTGTGTTTATATTTCAGTCCGTTAAAGAGTTTTTTGATACGTGTGATAACCTACTGGTATTTGTATTTATATTTCAGTCTGTAAAAGAGTTTTTTGATACGTGTGATAACCTACTGGTATTTGTGTTTATATTTCAGTCTGTAAAAGGGTTTTTTGATACGTGTGATAACCTACTGGTATTTGTATTTATATTTCAGTCTGTAAAGTGTTTTTTGATACGTGTGATAACCTACTGGTATTTGTATTTATATTCCAGTCTGTAAAAGGGTTTTTTGATACGTGTGATAACCTACTGGTATTTGTATTTATATTTCAGTCTGTTAAAGAGTTTTTTGATGCTTGTGATAACCTACTGGTATTTGTGTTTATATTTCAGTCTGTAAAAGGGTTTTTTGATTGTGATAACCTACTGGTATTTGTATTTATATTTCAGTCTGTTAAAGAGTTTTTTGATACGTGTGATAACCTACTGGTATTTGTATTTATATTTCAGTCCGTTAAAGAGTTTTTTGATACGTGTGATAACCTACTGGTATTTGTGTTTATATTTCAGTCTGTAAAAGAGTTTTTTGATACGTGTGATAACCTACTGGTATTTGTGTTTATATTTCAGTCTGTTAAAGTGTTTTTTGATACGTGTGATAACCTACTGGTATTTGTATTTATATTTCAGTCTGTTAAAGAGTTTTTTGATACGTGTGATAACCTACTGGTATTTGTGTTTATATTTCAGTCCGTTTAAGAGTTTTTTGATACGTGTGATAACCTACTGGTATTTGTGTTTATATTTCAGTCTGTTAAAGAGTTTTTTGATACGTGTGATAACCTACTGGTATTTGTGTTTATATTTCAGTCTGTAAAAGAGTTTTTTGATACGTGTGATAACCTACTGGTATTTGTGTTTATATTTCAGTCCGTTTAAGAGTTTTTTGATACGTGTGATAACCTACTGGTATTTGTGTTTATATTTCAGTCTGTAAAAGAGTTTTTTGATACGTGTGATAACCTACTGGTATTTGTGTTTATATTTCAGTCTGTTAAAGTGTTTTTTGATACGTGTGATAACCTACTGGTATTTGTATTTATATTTCAGTCTGTAAAAGGGTTTTTTGATACGTGTGATAACCTACTGGTATTTGTATTTATATTTCAGTCTGTTAAAGAGTTTTTTGATACTTGTGATAACCTACTGGTATTTGTGTTTATATTTCAGTCTGTAAAAGGGTTTTTTGATACGTGTGATAACCTACTGGTATTTGTATTTATATTTCAGTCCGTTAAAGAGTTTTTTGATACGGTGATAACCTACTGGTATTTGTGTTTATATTTCAGTCCGTTAAAGAGTTTTTTGATACGTGTGATAACCTACTGGTATTTGTGTTTATATTTCAGTCTGTTAAAGTGTTTTTTGATACGGTGATAACCTACTGGTATTTGTGTTTATATTTCAGTCCGTTTAAGAGTTTTTTGATACGTGTGATAACCTACTGGTATTTGTGTTTATATTTCAGTCTGTAAAAGAGTTTTTTGATACGTGTGATAACCTACTGGTATTTGTGTTTATATTTCAGTCCGTTGAAAGAGTTTTTTGATACGTGTGATAACCTACTGGTATTTGTGTTTATATTTCAGTCCGTTCAAGAGTTTTTTGATACGTGTGATAACCTACTGGTATTTGTATTTATATTTCAGTCCGTTAAAGAGTTTTTTGATACGTGTGATAACCTACTGGTATTTGTGTTTATATTTCAGTCCGTTAAAGAGTTTTTTGATACGTGTGATAACCTACTGGTATTTGTATTTATATTTCAGTCTGTTAAAGAGTTTTTTGATACGTGTGATAACCTACTGGTATTTGTATTTATATTTCAGTCTGTAAAAGAGTTTTTTGATACGTGTGATAACCTACTGGTATTTGCGAGAGCTGGTTGTGATGGAAGTCTATCAGCTGTTAGAGCTGCTTATATAGATACCATAACAACTTGTTTAAAACTTTATCATGATCATCT